CTTGTGTGAAAATCTAGTTGATTCTGGTTAATGTAAAACTTTTAGCTGGGAATTGATTCCTTAATGTTGTGAAACTTTCAGCTGTGTTTGTGTTTTCTTAATATTGTAAAACTTTCATCCGTATTAGAAAGATAGGAGTTTCCTTATCTACTTTCATCCATGTGTAAATAGATAGGTTGATTTCCTTGTGTGAAAATCTAGTTGATTCTGGTTGATGTAATGAAGCTTTCAGCCATGTTTGTGTTTCCTTAATACTGTGAAACTTTCAGCTGTGTTTAGAAAGATAGGAGTTTCCTTATTTTACTTTTCATCCGTGTGTAAATAGGTAGGAGCTGATTTCCTTGTATGAAAATCTAGTTGATTCCGGTTGATGTCGTGAAACTTTCAGCCGTGTTTGTGATTTCTTGATGTTGTGAAACTTTCAGCCATCTTTGTAATTCTTTTAATGTTGTGAAACTTTCAGCCGTGTTTAGAAAGATAGATGCTTCCTTATTCTACTTTCATCTGTGTGTAAATAGATAGGAGTTGATTTTCTTGTATAAAAATCTAGTTGATTCCGGTTGATGTCGTAAAACTTTCAGCCGTGTTTGTGTTTCCTTGATGTTGTGAAACTTTTAGCTGTGTTTGTGATTCCGTTAATACTGTGAAACTTTCAGCTGTGTTTAGAAAGATAGATGTTTCCTTATTCTACTTTCATCCGTGTGTAAATAGATAGGAGTTGATTTCCTTGTGTGAAAATCTAGTTGATTTCGGTTGATGTCGTGAAACTTTTAGCCGTGTTTGTGTTTTTTAATGTTGTGAAACTTTCACTATGTTAAGAAAAATAGGAGTTTCCTTGTTCTACTTTCATCCATGTGTAAATAGATAGATTGATTTCCTTGTGTGAAAATCTAGTTGATTCCGGTTGATGTGAAACTTTCAGCCATGTTAGGAGTTTCCTTATCTACTTTCATCCATTTATAAATAGATAGGTTGATTTCCTTGTGTAATTCTGGTTGATATAATGAAACTTTTAGCTAGGAATGGATTCGGTTGATGTTGTGAAATTTTAAATACTTTTCATCTGTGTGTAAATAGGTAGGTGTTAATTTTCTTGTATGAAAATCTAGTTGATTCCGGTTGATGTTGTGAAACTTTCAGCCGTGTTTGTGTTAAGAAAGATAGATGTTTCTTTATTCTACTTTTATTCGTGTGTAAATAGATAGGAGTTGATTTTCATGTATAAAAATCTAGTTGATTCCGGTTGATGTTATGAAACTTTTAGCCGTGTTTGTGTTTCCTTGATGTGAAGCTTTTAGCTGTGTTTGTGATTCCGTTATAGCTGTTTTCAAAAAGATGTGAACAGACGCAAATAGCTATATCACGGGAAATTCACGAAATTACCCAGATTTCCAAAACTTTCAAAGCCAACTCTAATCGGATCTTCAATTTTTACTAATAATAATTTCCCAATTCTTCGATTCCCCACATAGGTATGTGGGAATCATTGTTCACACCTTTTTGAAAACAGCTGTAATGCTGTGAAACTTTCAGCCGTGTTTAGAAAGATAGATGTTTTCTTATTCTGCTTTCATCTATATGTAAATAGATAGAAGTTGATTTCCCTGTGTGAAAATCTAGTTGATTTTAGTTGATGTCGTGAAACTTTCAGCGTGTTTGTATTTTTTTTAATGTTGTGAAACTTTCAATATTAATTTCCTTGTGTGAAAATCTAGTTGATTCCAGTTAATGTAAAACTTTTAGCCGGAAATTGATTTCTTAATGTTGTGAAATTTTCAGCCATGTTCATGTTTTCTTAATATTGTGAAACTTTCAGCCATGTTTAAAAAGATAGAAGTTTCCTTTCATCTGTGTGTAAATAGATAGAAGTTGTGAAACTTTCAGCTAGGAATTGATTTCGGTTGATGCTATGAAACTTTCAGCTGTGTTTGTGATTCCTTAATGTTGTGAAACTTTCATTCGTGTTTAGAACGATAGGATTTCTTATTCTACTTTCATCCATATGTAAATAGATAAGTTGATTTCCTTGTGTGAAAATCTAGTTGATTTCGGTTGATGTCGTAAAACTTTCAGCCGTGTTTGTTTAAAAAAATAGAAGCTTGTTCTACTTTCATCTGTGTAAATAGATAGGTTGATTTCCTTGTGTGAAAATCTAGTTGATTCTGGT